CAACTGGGCAGGGGACTCTTACACACAGAGGGACCTCAGCAACAGATGGCTTGGTTGCCAGGAGATGAGGCGTTCCAGGATCCTGTTTCCTCCTTGGTAGTGACACCAACCTTTTTTTTTTTTTTTCTGAGATGTACTAAATGAAAGCTTGAATGAAATATTTCTGTGGAGGGTGGAGAGACTTCTGTCCCCTGAAGATGCTAAGTCACAGGCTCAGCACCTGTGACTCTGAACTGGGATCAAGTGCTGCTGATCCCTGGCTGCTGTCCCTATAAAGAGAGAAGTCTGGGTATCTGGCATTTACTCACTAGCAGCCATGGAGAAGGCTGATATGGGTGATGAGGATGACCCAGATGGCAAGAGTCTACAGAAAGTGACCTTAAGCCAGGCAGAGAACCGAGTGTCTAGCTTTGGGGTAGAGGTGTGCCTCTTCCATGCCAGGCTCAGCCACAAGCCCACTACAATGAGCTACTTCCTCATGAACACATCTGAGATTAAGTGCAGCCAGTATTGGGGAGTGGGTGGTGGTACTACAGGTCCTATTGGCATTGACATTGGCATTGGCATTGTTTGGTATCCGGGATCATCCCAGCTTCTTGTCCAACCTGTAGGTATTGCAGGGGTCTGAAGCTCATCCATTCTTGATCCAGAGAAGACCTTTGTCCTTCTAGATGAGATCATTCAGGAGGTCCTAGAAGAAAAGGTGGTCACTGAAGAAGAAAAGAGAGAGATGGAAACTGTGGATCCCTCACAACAGGGATACATTTTGTTTCAGCAGGGATTTGGGAGAAAGCACTAGAAATATCCTCGAAAGACTAAGAACTCCTCAGACAAGGTGCAAGAAAGGAGCAGACCAACAGAAGGACAGTGACATCAGAGTACCCACAGCATTCACTCCAGCCCCAGCACCATTAAATGGCTCTAAATATAATGTGTCAGCCCCAGGTGGCCATAGGGTATGCCCATGCTTCAACCCTAGGTAATTATGACCATGCAGCTGGGATGCCTTTGGGAATCCTGTCATGTCAACAGACTATGAGAGCCCTGCTGGACCTGGAAGACCAGGGTGCACCCTGCTTGGATGATGACACCTCTAAGGCTGCCACTTGACCAGAAATGTGCTGCCATGCATGTGACTACAGCATGCGATGCCTCTATATAATTCTACAGTGTTCAGGTGCCAGAAAGGAAATCCATGCTCATCCACAGACATAGTCCCTACCCCAACTCAGGAAACACCAGATAGGCTTCCTGTCCTATGGTTTAGCTGGATCTAGATTTTCTTACCTGGTGTCATGTTTTCTGCTCTGCCTGTCTGGTAGCCTGTCAGTGGCTCGATCCTTCTTGTAGTTGAATCATACTCCACCCTTTCTCTTTCACACCCATAATCTCCCCTCCAGAGAACCCAGGGATGCTCCCCACAGACACTCCAGGGATAAGCACCCCAGGCACAACTGATCACTTCCCTATCATTTTTATGGAGTTTGCATCTAAGACTTCTTAATGAATCAAAAGTATTTCTATTCTCTTAATTGTAAATGTAAAATTACGATTCGTTCAGAAATGGACATAGCGATTACGTGAGAACAAATGGCATGGAAATCTTTCTTGGGAGCCTTGGGCTCTTACAGAATTCCAAGGGGCAGGAGTGACTTAACATGTCTGTGTTGCTGATTCTTTTCTGCAAGGGAGACTAGTTACCTGGGAGTCGGGGAGGGGAGGCAGGGAAGCAAAGAGGCAATTACTAGCTTGAAGCCTCTGGGTGGTGACACCTCCACACCCACTGTGAGTCTATTCTATTCATGAGGCCCTGTTTGATCCTCATGTAGTCAACAGGATGGTATGTGTTCATAAAGGGCTCTCTCTCTCTCTCTCTCTCTCTCTCTCTCTCTCTCTCTCTCTCTCTTTCTATCTCTCTCTCTCTGTCTCTCTTTTTGTCTCTCTCTCTCTCTCTCTCTCTCTGTGTGTATGTGTCTTTGTCTCTCTCTCACACCCCCACACAGAGAGAAAGAGACAGACAGAGACAGATAAAAAGAGAAAAAAGAGATAAAGAGAGACACACAGAGAAACAAAGAAACAGAGACAGACACACAGAGAGACAGAGAAACAGACACACAGAGTCAGAGAGACAGAGAGAGCCACTCCATGCCCAAAAGTGATGAAGGGGAGGTTGATTGGTTCTGAGACAAGAGATGGGTGGCATCCCTGCTCCTACCAGTCCCTGTGAGAAGCATGATCCTCCCCAGGGACCCTGGTAGAGTTTGGGTTTCAGGAAACATTCCAGCGTTTGGCTCTTAAATAGTGTGCCACTCACATCATTAAGAACTGTATTCCACTGGAAAACTGTCTGGGAAATGAAAGAACAGAAACATGTGCCTGGTTCATCAGTATTAAACACAGGTGTACATACATACATACACACAGACACATATGCATGGGCACATGGTACACACACAGAGATACATACACATGGGCACACACACACACACATGGGCAGATACACACGGGTGCACCTACAAACATGCATGAGCATACACAATTCTAACTGTTTGCTTTCACCAGACCTAGAGTCACAATTTGTTCTTCCAGCTGCCAGCACTTTGAGGAATATTTCATTCTTTCATACCACATCATCTATGCTATCCTGTACAGCGCTCCAAAGGAACTCAGAATGGTCACCATCTGGATCTGTCACTTCTTGGATGTCTCATACTCACAAATGATATAGCCACCTCAGCATGAAGAACCTTGATAAATGTGATCCAGGAAATTCTGAAGTTGATAGACAAGCCAGGGAAGAAGCTAGAATGCCAGACTCTCTCTGCCCACATATCAACAAACTAGCGATGAAGTTAACTGCTCAACAGAATGGCTGTTAAATACAGGGAACTTCTCCCATGAGTGTGAGCAGGGGTATTTCACAGATGAAAGGTTTCTTTCCTTGTTCATTTTGTCTGTGACTGTTAATCCTTGAAACTGATGTGGCCAGTAAGAAATTGCTGATGTCCAACTAGCCTTGACCAGAGATGAGTGCTAAAGTGAGATGATGATGACGTTGGTGTGTGTGTGTGTGTGTGTGTGTGTGTGTGTGTGTGTAGTTGTGAAACTGTAACAACCATTTAGGACAATAATCACAATTAGCTCATAAGGGACCACACTGTTTAACAAGCCATTTGCTGAAGACCATTAGGAGAGAGAAAATGAAAAACAACATTGAGCACATTACCTGTAATGAACTTGACTTGGGGATTTCCATGGTATTCTTAGCATCTGTAATAGCCATGGTCAGGGCCACCCATAATTGGAACCTGGCTTCAGGATTCCCATGCACCATGTAGAGGCAGGCAGAGCCTTGCTCAACTGCAGGATGATGGGCCCAACTGTCTGAGGATCTGGGGTTCCACTTGTAACAAAAGCCTCTCTGTGCTGTGTGCCTGCTTCAAACAAAAGGTCACCCTGAAGAAAAGCAGTGTTTGTGGAGAGGAACTTGGGAGAAATTGGCCCCGAGGTGAAAGGTGCCTGTAGATCCCTAGACTCAAAGGTCTGTTTGCAACTTTGAATGGCCATCAAGAGAAGGACTGCCAGCCTGCATGCAGGTGGTAATCACCCTGCAAACTCAAAAAGGACAGTGTTTTCTCCATCACTCAGCAGATTGTGTGTGCAATTTTACAGAACATTGACATGAAGAGATTAAGCAGACATGCCTGTGGGTGTGGTGGAGTGCGCTCTTATGGGACAGCAGAGAGACAGTTTGATTTGGAAAAAACAAAAAACAAAAAAGCACTTCAAAGAAGAAACCCGTGGGCTGAGGATGTGGCTCCATGCTAAAGCACTTGTCTAGCATGGAGGAGGCTCCTAGCCCCATGCCCAACACTATGAATAACAACAACAGGAAAAGGAGGCCCCTTAGTGGGTAAAGTGCCACTTGTAGCCCCAGCTACTCGACATGAGGGAGTACTCATCCTACCTCCCTTCTGGGGGACAGAGGTTTGCAATGTGAGATGAAAGCCAGCTTGTAACAGGGCTATGCCACTCCTAGAAAGTGTCCCTAGGGAAAATCTCCCTTTGCCTTTCCGGTCTTCAGAACCATTGGGGCTTGTCACTCCCATGCTGGCCTCTCTTACATCAACATAGCCTGAGGTCTAACTCTGAGCCCCATGAGTCCTTCCTTCTTCATGGACTTTTAGAATTCCACCGGGGCCACCCCAAGGGATCCAGAATGATGCCTGTTCTCAAGGCCCTGAACTTCATCCTACCTGCCAAGTCCCTCCTACCAGGCATTCTACTTTGCTTTCTCATGTATCATGACCAAAAAGCATCCCTGGGAGGAAAAGGCTTGCTTCAGCTTATAACTCTCAGGTCACACTCCATCATAGTCAAGGCAGGAACTCAAGGAAGGAACTGAAGCAGAGTGTTGTTTACTGACTTGTTCTTTCTAACCTGCTCAGCCCGCTTTCATAAATGCCCCAAGACCACCTGCCCAGGGGTGGCACCATCCACAGTGGGCTGGGCCCTCACACATCAGTCATCAATCAAGAAAATACTCCACAGGTAGATTTGGTAGAGGCACTTCTTCAGTGGAGCTGACAAACAAGATTAGCCATCACACCAAGTATGCTCACAGGCTCTGGGCATCTTTTGCAGGTGGAGGCAGGCATTAGTCAACCCAGCTTGATACCTTTCTTCACAAAGTACTCAAAGTTGGCTTCTGTTGCTTGCCAACCAGCTGCTGTGCAACTCTGCTGGATCTCTGCAACACTAAAAAGAATACATGTTCTTTATTGTTATTGGGAGCAAGGAAGATGAGCACATGTAAGCCAAAAGTCAAGCACTCTTAGGACTCTGTTCTAAAGAGTGTTCTGATATGATTCCTAAGGACAGTACCACAGTGTGTCTAACAGGAGCAACCCAACACTTACCTCGAGAGCATCCCTAAGCATCACCTGGTACCAGCAGAATGGAGACGGTCTGTTGATCTGGTATGTCTGGTTCTTCGGCAGGACACTGAACTGCTGAACACAGCCATCCTCACTGGGAAGACGGTGGCCATGCCTGTCAGGGTGGTGTCGGTGGAGGAGAACAGCACAGTGAGGGACATCTCAGAGCTGGTGGAGTGCAAGGCCATGGATGAGGATGTCATCAAGGTATGTGGGCCTGGTGGGGCTCTGCTCCAGCCTTTCAGACACTGAGAGAGTTTATACTGAAGTAAGAGATTCAGATGGGATTCAGGGACCCAACACTTGCAGTGGCTTCACTCACCATTGCACCTCACCTCTTCATCTGTGCAACTGTATTTTTTCACTCTTCATCCCTTCTATTCTTTCTTCCTGTTCTCTCCCTCCCTCTTTTCTTCCTTTTTTCATTCCCTTTTCTCTCTTTCCTTCCTTTCCCCTTCCCACATTTATTTAATTATCAAATTAAACTTAAATCTATTTACCATAAAGAACATCATTTCTTAAAATCTATAAATGCTTCTGACAGGCTAAGAACCCATGCATTAACTCACACCACTGTTACTTATCTCTTCCTTTAGAAAAATTTCAAATTAATCGTGATTATTCACTACATTCAACAATACCCCACACAGTTCAGGAGACCTCCCAAATTTTCTCTGGGCTGAATTCAGAGAAGCTGAGAGCAGAGGTTGCCACTGAGCTGGGTTGGTAGGGGGTAGAGCATGAGAGATGTTGACAGAACAACACGAAATCTCAGTTGGATGGGCAGCAACTTCTTGGGAGGTCCATCCCACATCCGCTCCATTTTCTGGAGGCAGAATCCACTCTCAGCCTATGAAAGCCAGGTGGGAAGCAAATCCAGAAATAAATGCCACTGTGGTTACACATAGTGCAACCTTTAACTTCACATAAGGGGCAGTGACGTGGAGTCCGTAGCTGATATTTCCAGGAATGCAATCAGTATCTTTGGGGAAATAAGTGTGTTCAAATGAAAATTGCCTCCCGGAATGAATCAGGAGGTGGCCATCCCCTGGCTGTTGACACAGCAGAGCACAGTGTCCAATCAGCAAGAACTGGGGGAGGTGTGGAGCGGGCAGCCTTAGTGTAGGAGTGAGTCCCCGCAGTCAGCCCTATCTGCAGAACTTAGCTCTTCCCTCTGGGTCCTGGGCTCATATCCGCAGGACCTGTGCTCTTTTCCAGGGCTTAGGTTCATCTCCTAGCCTCATCTGTGGAACTCAGGTGCTAGTCCTGCAGAACTCCTGTGTGCCATTCAGCATACTGTGAGGAGAAGTGGGAGCGCACAAGTGACCAGTGCCCATTCTGTAGCATGTACAAGAGGTTGGGTCTAGATGTTTTCACCTAAGTGTGACCTGGCAAATCACACTGTCATAACTTTATGTGACAAAATGGGGTTCCTGGGTCAGATATAAAGCAGCCACCATTCCAGCTGTTTCCTAAACCCGTATCTTGAACACCATCTCATAAATGGGCACAGATAGGGTCCAAGACATGTGAGTGTGTGGCTGATAGTGTCTTGGGGGAAGAACCCTGGCTCTGGGGAACTCAGGCCTTGTGTAATGGTCAATAACTGACCACAAGTCTGGAAGTTCTCTGGCATCTTGGGAGAGCCAAGCAGATATGACACATGGATCCATGTTCCCCCATCCAAGCACTCAAGGCAGGGTCCCTTAAACAGATACCTGCCAATCAGACAGGGGCTACCACACCCTGTTGCCTCCTGTCTGGGTCAGTCTGTCCAATCTGTCAACTTGGCCCTGTGGGGAGTGTGGCTATTCCCAGGTCTAACATGTGCAAAGCAGTGTTTCTTCTACACAAATAGTCACACTTATTTGTAAGAATGGCATCAAGCCAGCCATACTATTTTTCATCACGGACTTTTTAATATGAGATTTTACTTTTAACTATGTTTATTCATGTATGTGAGTGCTCAAAGAGGCCTGAAGAGGGTATTGAATCCCCTAGAGCTGGAGTTATGAATGGTTTGCAAGCCAACATGTGGGTGCTGGGAACCAAACTCTGGTATTCTGTAAGGGCAGCCAGTTCCCTTAACAGTTGAGCCATCTCTCCAGCACCGCCCCTCCCCCCATGAGCTCTTTAGAATACCTTTTAATTCTTTAGAATTATTTTTAATTAGCATAAAAGGTAATGGGATTCCTTACCTATTTTCCATATTATATTATCTATTTTCATATGTATGTGGCGTTACACCTGTTCTTATCCACTCCTCCCCAAATCTCCTATCCTCCTACCCCTTAGCCGGTCTTCTTTGTCACTTTAAGTAGCCTTCCTTTTTGCCTTCCGGTCACACAGATTTCCTCAACTTCTTTTGTTCCCCTCCCTTTAGATCTCTTCCCCCGCTTAGTCCCCTTTGCACTCTCATGCACTACACACACATACACACACATATAATCTATTCACAGACACATATGCACACTCATACACACATATAATCAATTCATAGACATGCATCCAGACATATAATCTATTCACAGAATGTACACACATATACGCACATAGTCTTATTGATAGACATACATGTATATACATAATTCGTGCATTCACACAGTATACTCACGGACACACATAATCCATGTGCACACAAATAATCTATTAACAGGCATACACACATACACATATAATCTAATCACAGACATATACACATGGACATATAGTATACACACACACACACACACACTCAAGCCAATTTCTATGGGCCCCAGATAATCTGTGTGACAGTGTCCCAGGTTCCTTTTGTGGCTTCTTCCATATGTATATGATATGCACACACTTATACGTAAGTATGTATAAATATGTTCAACATACACAAGGGCTTTTCAGTCATAGTTTGTTTCATAGTAACAGCAGCTTCTTGCACTTATCTCCCCTGATTCCTGGCACTGTGCACTGTGGATCCCCCACCCACCCCGCACCTGGAGGTGTTGAGAAGGGAAAGCAAGCCAGCAGGCCTGGTAAAAGTCTTCCAAGAGTGAGGGGTGATCTGTCCACTCTCTGCCCCACGTGTAGCTTCATCAGCACCCCAGCATCTGCCAGCAAGGACCTCAAATGTTCATTGTTGTGGGAATTCATTCCACCAATGGTTTGGGGGAACTGGTCTTAGGGCATGGTTTCTGTGTGGATGTGATCTCTTATTAAAAAGGAGGAGTCTCTCTCACTCTCTTCTGTGGTGGTCAGAGATCTGAACACAGCTTCCATTGACCCCAGGGCAGAAGCAACTGTCTACCTTATTGTTATTCGTGAGTGTTCCCCAATAAATATTGGATTTCCTTTTATTTGGGCTCTCATGGACTCACATACAATTACCTAGAGTTCATATCTACCTTGATGTACTTTTGGGAGATGAAGGGTCAGAGCACTGGAGAAGGACAGTGAGCAGCTAGCCAACAGACACCCAGAACAAGGGTTGGGGAAGAAGAAGGATGCCACATCTGTATTGTCAATGTCTCAGTGGCATCACAAAGAATCTAGTCTCCTACCTTTGAAATAAAGCTGTCTCACAGCCAGTGACATGGCATGGATCATGTGCCTGCAGTTGTTCTATTTGATCCTTGAATCATATGAGCATTGACAGTGCACAGTTGGTGTCTTCATAAATCACAGGCTACTTCATTCAGTGAAGATTGATTGCTGTCCTGAGACACAGAGATAACGGTAAATAAAACAGTGTGGGCCTGCCCTGGTGGAGCCTGGCCACCAATGGAAGAGACCAACATCAATGGATGCAGAAATGGGCTGTCCAGGCATTGTGCTGAGGTGGGGTGACTTTGAACAAGGTGACCTCCTGGTCAGGGACAGTTGAGCATATGTGACACTAAGCACCAGCTTACACCAGGGCTGTCTGTACCTGCTCTGGGATGCCCCTGATGGGCTCCCTAAGGGTGCAACCTCAGTCCATAGCCTAGCATGTCTTTTCCGGGTGCTCCTATGGCCACAGATTGCTAGGGACCAGCAGTGATACGTTGATGATTGGAGGCATTTGTAGGATTTCCCTGTGGCCTGTTATGACCTCCAGGCATAAATTCAATAAGTGGATCACAGGGACCAAGCTACAAACTCGGGGTACAGGAAATGAGAAAGTAGCTTGATCCCTGTGAAACCAGATCCCTGCTCAGGCTCCCAGACACAGGAACAATCCCCTTGGGTGATAGCCTCAGTTTGTCCCCGGGTTCCTTTGACAGCAAACTTTTCTGAAATTATTACTATTTCACAGGCGATGAGGCCTCAGGAGAGCAAAAGTCTTTAGTAACAGCCCAAAGTTTCTTGATTCACAGATTTGTGTTGGCTTCAGGGGGCAAAACCTACCAAGCAGGATGGAGGCAAACTTCCTCCCACAGAGGAAAACACACTTCCTTACTAAACTGGTATTAGTTGTGTTTCTTGCTTCTGGGTCCTGATGTCTGGGGGTAAAGGCTTGTTTGGCTCATGGCTTCAGGGAATATAGTCCTTTATGGTGAAAGCAGACGTGGCCAACACTTTCAAGGCCAGCCCTCAATGTCCCATTTTCTATGGTCAGACTCCACCTCCTAAAGGCTCTACAACCTTTTACAAAAGCACCACCATCTGGGGACCAAGTATATACGAGGCTGTGGGGGACATACTAATATTATGACCCCCATGTGTGCTCCTTGTAGACCAGGCTCTTCGTCCTTAAAAGCAAAGTGGTGGCTTATGCCTGTAATCCCAGCATTTAAGAGAATGAGTTAGAATTGCCACAACTCTGAGGCCAGCATGGGCTACATTGTGGATTTTAGTCTGGCCTGGGCTGCAGAGTGAAACTCTGTCTCAAAACCCAAAAGAGCAAGTTGCAAAAAAGGCAAAATAACCATCTAGTTCCATGAGGAGGGAAGGGGTCAAAGTGCAAAACAGTTCCCAGAATCTAGAGGCCCTGTACCCTGCTCCAGCAGTGATGATGCTCAGCCATGACCCTTGCTGGATCTGGGGTCCTCACTTGAAAGTTTAAGAAGCTACTTCTCTGTTGGGTTCACCCAACTCTAGAATTCCTACCATGTGATTTCAATTGTGACTAAGCCACATCGGCAGCCTCCTCTGCTCTTTATGGAGCCTCCATTGTTTTTTAATTATTATTTTGACATGCCAATACGTGTGTTTGGAGGTCAGTGGACAACTTAATGGATCAGTTCTCCCCTCCA